GCCAGTGCGTCGGCGCGATGCTCGCCCCCCCCTGCAGCTCGCGGTCTGCCGCTCGAAGTCGAACGCATCCTATGCGGCCCTGAAAGCCCCACCAGCCTTCTAGGCGCAGGTGGTTTAGATCACCCCCTTTTTCCAACCTCCTTCCTTTCCGCGCTCGGGAGGTTCACCCCCCCCCCCTCCCCGCGTCTGGGCGGCCCCCCCCGCGAGGTGTCAGAGGGCCCTTTCCGGCCCAAGATGGCTCCAAGAGGGCTTCGGAGAGTGCGAGATGGCCTCCATGATGGCCCGAGATAGCGGTAGATGGCTCACGATAGTCCCCGACGCGCGTCCAAGAGGCCCCGAGACGGTTCCAAGTGCCCTCCGAGGCCCCCGAGGACCCCCCCAAGGGGCCAAAATTGTTAAAATATTATATGCAAATGTATTGTTTGTGCCTTTTCGCCGTCTCCCTTCCGATGGGCTCTCGAGGCCTCGCGACGGCCCAAGACGGCCCAATATTGTCCCACGGGGGGCCCAAGAGGGCCCCGAGACGGCCCCAAGAGCGCCCAAGAGCGCTTTAAGAGCGGCCCAAGAGGGCCCCAGGACTGGATAGGGTCCGAGCTTCTGGAAAACCATTTTCCTACTTACAGAAATGGTTTTCTGAGCCCCCAGAAATGGTTGGGGGCTAGGCCGCAGACATGGCCATGCTCAAGCGGCGCCCCGCGGCGGCCGCGGCCGCGGCCCCGTCGGGCGCCGACGCCGCCGCTCCCCGACCCCGCCCCGTGCGCCACGCGGCGGCCGCGGCCGCGGCCCCGTCGGGAGCCGATGCCGCCGCTCCCCGACCCCGCCCCGTGCGCCACGCAGCGGCCGCGGCCGCGGCCCCGTCGGGAGCCGATGCCGCCGCTCCCCGACCCCGCCCTGTGAGGGTGCGACTGCCGTCGCGAGACGGCAAACCCAGGAAGTTCACCGCCAGAACATAATCTCCACATCCACTTCTTCGGGGCTGTGCCCAAGGGCCGCGGGGAGCGGTGGATATGGACCTCCGCATCCAAATCCACCGTTCCTCGGGGTTCCAGGGCGCGACCCCGAAGCAGTGGATGTGGACATACTCTGGCTGTGCAGGACCAAGAGCTCTGGTACGAGCGGCTTCCAAAGAGATCGGCAAGCCAGGATAGCAGCGGAGCTAGCCCGTGACCAGGCCATCAAGCACATGGAACTCCAAGCAATGCAGTATGAGGACGCCGTGGCGAGAGCACACATAGCCGTCGCCGAGGAGGCGGCACGAGCGAGGGCAGCCGCCGAGAAAGGGGCCGCCGACGTGGCGGCGGAGCAGCGCAGCTTGAGGCGGCGGATAGAAATCTTCGAGATCACGGAACCACCGATAGAAAGCGGCACTGGCCGCATGCTGTGGCCTGCCACAGAGAGCCAGTGGGACGCCCAAGCCCAGAGGGCCAAGCGCAAGGCGGCCGCGGCCGCTAAGACGGCCGCGGCCGCTGCTTCTCCGCGGCGGCCCTGAGGCTGCCTTCTTTAGGCTGCACTCCGTCCAGGGCCCGAGAATTCACACCACCACCACCTCCGTCACCCTCCCCTTTTCCTCCCTCCTGTTCGTTTCCTCTCTCCTTGGATGGGGGTGAGAGGGGATGGAGGTGGTGGTGGTGTCTATTTTTGGGCCCCTGGCGAATCGTTCGCAATTCGAGTGATCGAAACGATTCGCTGTCGAATCGTCGCTGTACAGGGTTCGCTCAGATTGCACACGTCCGCCCTGTGGCATCGGAGAAAGAATGCCGTCGCCAATGATCGTCGCGCGAGGGTGCCCCCAGGAGGGGCAGGCGACCCGCGGGGGCGCGCGTGCAACAGCGCGAGGGCGCGAAGATATACGCGCCGAAACTGAGTGGCCTAAGTCACCAGCTGGGGGCGCAAAGATAACCGAGCGAGGGCGCGACGGCGCGAAGATAACTGCGCCGAAGCTAGGCGTCGAAGATGACCGCTGGGTCGAGGGAAGCCGACGAAAGAACGATGCCTCGAGCCGAGCCCGTAACATGGCTGGGGCACCACGATGCCTGGAGCCGAGCCCTTAAAATGGCTGGGGCACCACGTGGGCTCCGGTCTCGGCCCCAGATCTCTCGACCGCGCCCCCCCCCCCAGCCTCCTGGCTCCCATGCCCTTTTCATTGCAGCCATTTTGGCCAAACAGTTTCGGCGAGGAGGCGCCCCGACGGGCCCCGACGCCCCAGCGTTCGCCCGAGGGGCCGAGGGTGCGTCGCGATGCCGCCAGCGGCACCGACCCCGAGCAGCGACCACGACCAGACCAAGGTCCAGAAGCTTGGAAAGGATGCCATGAAGCTGATCGACGAGCACAACGTCTTCAGGGGCGAGTTTGTCAACATCCCTCCCGAGGAGATCGGATATTGCCCTTGGAACCGATCCAGCTCAGACCCGAACATGCAGTACGTTCACAAAGACCTCAACGCCAACTTCAAGAAAGGATATGACCCATTGCGCGCGAAACCTGGAGTTGTCGTCAGGGTGCGGAAAGAGGATAACCCAAAGTTGTGGCAGGAATGGGTTAACTACAACAAACAGCTCGCTCGGAATTCTACCCTGTACCCGCCAGTCAACGAGGGGAAAATGTGCTATTTCACGCTGGCGAGCTCTCACCACACTCTGCTGATTAGGCTGTACCAGGCGCGCATCATCTCGACGCTTACTGGGGAGCGCTTCCAGGTGGAGAACGACGAGAAGCTGACTCGCGTGATAACTGCAGGCCATAAGTACATCGTGCTGGACCACACGTGCCCGAAGGAAGAGTGCGAGAAACTGAGCGAGTGGATGAACGCGGACAACAACAGCAGCCTCGCGAAGAGCGAGGTCGAGCACATCAAGCACTGCAAGAGCGTCATCGAGACACATTTCCCTAACGATGCTCAGGTCGAATGGGCTTTGCAACTAAGGTTCATAAGCACAGGAGGTGGGACATTAGGGGCAGGGCAAGGAGGGGAGGTATGAGGACGATATGAGGCTGGCCAGGTAAGAGGGGCACAGGGGGCGGAGAGGGGAAGGAGGCGGCGACTGAGAGTGTAGCATCCCACGCCTCCGTCCCATCCCCGCCCCTGTCCTCATGCGCGCCAGCCTCGTCCTCATACTGCCCCTCCTCGCCCGCCCCTTCCTTCCCATGGTTGCCAATGAACCGAAGTCTGCTTCGTTGCAGGTGCCGCTGGGCCGGCTTGTAGCGAAGGTGGTGAACGCGAACTCCTTGAAGATCCAGCCTGCCGTCATCGCAGCGTTCGCCAAGTACACCACTGAGATGGGGGCTGGCCCATTGATTGACGAGTTCGCAGCGGAGCATTCGTCCTCGGTGAATTCTAGCGAGCTGACTGCCCCGCACCACTTGTTCGAAGAGATCGCCAAGAACATTGGCCGCACTCATCCCTTGACCATGCTCGCCCTGAGTTGCGCGATGTACACCACAGAGAAAGTGGACGAGAAGGTGAGGCCGCAGCCCGACGTGAGCAAATTCTTCGTTGCTTCAGAGATCAAGGCCTACGGCGAGAACACGGCCGTGCTCACGATGGGCGAGACGTTCATGAGGCAGAACAGGGAACAGATGCACTCCGAACTTATCAAGCACGTCAACAACGAGGCTGCGTTGCACTACTTGCGCATGTTCGAGATTCAGGACGCATAGCTGAAATATGTCGGTATATTCACCGTCGCTTTCTCAACTAGTCATCCCCTCATCCCCCCTTCCAACTCCGTCCCTATTCCCTCTCCCCTCCTTCCCCTCTCCCTCTCCCTCCTCCATCTACCCCTCCCTAGGAGAGAGGGGGAGATGGAGGAGGGAGAGGGCCTTTTCGGGCACTCGAAGTCACGTCGCGTGGGCGCGCAGTGGTCACATGCCACTGCCACTGCCGCGCAGTCGAGACCCATGAGCAGGTCGACCCTGCAATATCAAAGATTCCCGTATGTCGGAACTGCGCACACACCATCCTCATCATCTTCATCATCATCATCACCACCATCATCATCATCATCATCACCATCATCATCATTGTCATTGTCATTGTCATCATCATCATCACCACCATCATCATCATACTCATACTCATCATCATCATCATCGTCGTCGTCGTCATCATCATCATCACCATCATCACCATCATCAACATCATCTTCATCAGCATCATGATCACGATCATGGTCATCGTCATCGTCATCATCATCATCGTCATCATCATCATCAGCAGCATAAGCATCGCCATCATCAGTATCACTACCACCATCGCCATCATTAACTTCGTCATCCTCAGCAGCATCACCGTCGTCATCATCACCATCATCATCAAGATCTTCATCGTCATCGTCGTCATCATCATCATCGTGATCATCATACGCATGATCATCGCCATCGTCGTCGTCGTCATCATCGTAATAATCATCATCATCATCAGCATCATCATCATCATCATGGTCGTCCTCGTCGCCATCGTCGTCATCATCAACATCATCATAATCAGCTTCATCGTTATCATCATCACCATCATCATCGTCGTCGCAATCGTCAGCATCATCATCATCGGCATCATCACCATCATCATCGTGATGGTCGTCGTCATCATCATCATCAGCAGCATCATCATCATCGTAATCATCATCATCATCGTCGTCGTCGTCGTCATCGTCGTCATCATCATCGTCGTCACCATGAGCATCAGCACAGTTCTCAGCACAGTCATCACCATTATCATCATTATCACCAACGCAATCATTATCATTGTCATCATCTTCGTCGTCACTGTCATCCACAGTGCCATCATTACCGTCACTAGCATCGTCATCATCATTATCACCATTATCATCAACATGGTTATCGGCATGGCACCCTTGTTGTCGGTATTATCATGCGCGGTTTTGCGCTCGGAAGGGTCTTGCGTCCTCTCGGGTGTCATCTGTCTTCGGTAGCGGCTGTGGCTTCTGCGCCTGCGTGGCGTTTCTTTGTTGCGCGGACACCTTCAGGTTGTTCGCATGGCTATGGGCAAGGCGGCGCACGCAAATTTCCCATACGGCTCGGCCGCGCCGGCTGGTGACAAGAGGCAGGCGGCTTTGAAAAATGAGTGGTTGAAGTTCGTCGACGCCAGCGTCCCTGGCTGTATGCTGGCCGAAACGTTCGGTGAGAGTGGAGGGGCGATGGACATTGAGGTTCTCACCGCCGCCAAGTTCGAAGGCGAGGCCCGTGTTGCGACGCCCACTTCTGGCGAGAGAGCAGCTCTGGATGGCTTCACCGTCGGCTCCGAAGTTGTCATGCTAAAGCGCCAGACTGTCCAGGTGGATCACGGCCGCCGCAGGGCGTCCTACCCCGCGGTTTTGTCGAAGGGCAAGGTTGGCATCCTCAAAGAGGTCAAGGGGGTTAAGTTTCTGGTCGAATTCCAAGTGGCGTTCACGGTCGGGGACGAAACGAAGGACAAGACGGTTATTGCGCAGCTGGACAAGGCCGTCATCATCCCCAAGGGGGAGGACCCGCGCCCGAGCAGAAGGTCGCCACCCCGAAGGGCCACGAGTACGCTGCGAAGTTCGACGGGACCGAGGTGAAGCTCGCGCTGTGGCCGCCGATCCCGCCCCAGAACGAGAAGGACACGTCTGTGGACCTTTGCTACTTGAAAGGCAAGGTCGCGCTGACCCAGTTTCTCATGGACAACGAGTTTGGGCGGCCAAGCTACACGGGCAAGGACTTCACCGTCCTGATTCGCGACGGCAACTACGAGGTGTGGACGGCCAAGCAGTTTCCAGCCTGGACGATATCTCTCATTCCCCAGACTACCGAGGTCAAGGACTGTTACTGGAGCATGGGCAAGAGCAACCTGACGCAGAACACTGCGGAAGCCCACCCTGAGAACAAACATTTGGTCCTGGATGGTCGCTTGAGGTCCACAGTCGTCGAGAACCGTGCCCCATCCCTTTTCTTCATGGTAACCAGGACTGGCGTGAGCGACAATGCGAACATGAAGTGCGTGTTCTCCCAGATTTCGGGAGACCTCAAAGTGGACATCGGGTGCCAGCACCCCCAGAAGCGCAGCGCTGACGTGGCGTTCGGCGTCGGTGAGTGGCCACAGATCCCCACGATGACGAATCCGAAGATGATCCAGAAACACACGCGCCTGGCGGTGTGCGACGATACCGAACTGGCCAAGATCAACCAGAAAATGAAGGACGAGAAGCTGAAGCTGCTCGCGGCCAGCAAGGCTCTCAAGGGGCCATCCGCCACGGGCAGCGCGTGAGATTAGCCCAGTAGCCTTCGGATTCCGCCCCGCATTTTAGGGGCATCTTGACGTCTTGGGCTCTCGCCTCATGGGCTCTTGGACCATCGTCTCGAGCACTCCCTGGGGCCACTTGAGCAACAGCAGCTTCATGGGGAGCAGTTGGGGCCCAAGGAGGCGTCTGTTTTTTTTGTAAAGACCTTTCCCAGTGCGACCCTACCTAGGAGTTGGACCCCCTAGGAAAGCAGCATTAGTAGTAACAGTACGGCTAATATAAAGCTAAGCGAAAGCTAAGGTAAAGCTAAGCTAAATCTAAGATAAAGCTAAGCTAAAGCTAAGCTAATGCTAAGCTAAAGCTGAGCTAAAGCTAAGCTAAAGCTAAGCTGAAACTAAGCTAAATCTAAGCTAAAGCGAAGCCAACGCTAAGCTAAAGCGAAGCCAAATCTAAGCTAAAGCTAAGGCAAAGCTAAGCTAAAGCTAAGCTAACGCTAAGCTGAAGCTAAGCTAACGCTAAGCTAAGTCTAAGCTCAAGCTAAGCTAAATCTAAACTAAATAAATCTAAGCTACAGCTAAGCTAAAGCTAAGCTAAAGCTAAGCTTAAGCTAAAGCTAAAGCTAAGCTAAAGCTAAGCTACAGCTAAGCTAAAGCTAAGCTAAAGCTAAAGCTAAAACTAAGTTAAAGCTAAGCTAAAGCTAAGCTGCAGCTAAGCTACAGCTAAGCTAAAGCTAAAGCTAAAGCTAAATCGAAAGCGACAGCTAAGGTAAAGCTAAAGTTAAAGCTAAAGCTAAAGCTAAAGCTAAAGCGAAAGCTCCCAGGGCACTGGGGGAACCGCTCCCAGGGGACTGGGGGAACCGCCCAGGGCGCTTTCCACTGCCTGGCCCCTTTAAGCTAGAGGGTGAGAACCCTTCTAGGCAGAACCTAGGTAGGGAAAAAGCATGTCTCAATCTCTTGGGGGTTGCGTTTGGGGCTCATCGGGCTTCTTTTGCGGGCCAAAACTTGAATGCCACACTGGGGGCGATGCTCGGCGTATCTCGGAACATCTAAGGTGCCCTAAGACAGGGCGACGAATACATTTACAGCGTATGACTTTCATGCCAAGGTATTTCCCGTAGTAGCCCTTCGTTGCTATGGTTGTTCAAAGACAACACGATACCTCACAGGGGGGACGGGGATCCCTAAAACGCTTGGTTGAAATATTGTTTCGTGTGGCAAGGCCCCAAGATTCTCACCATGTCAGGCCTCCCATGTTGCGAACTGTCACGAACGTGTGGCACGGCCAAACAACATTCACGGGTGGCAGGGCAATGGGATTCTCACCACGTCAGCCTTTGCAGGGCACGGCCATACGGTAGAGCCATAATATCCTTACCCTCTCAGCCTTCCCAGGTCACGCACGTGCAGCGGGCCGTGGGATTCTTACCACGCCACCCCTCCCAGGCCAGGAACGTGTGGCAGGGCAGTAAGATTCTCACCACTTCAGCTTCCCAGGGGGGGCCTTACAAATCCCGCATACCTCACAGGTCCCACAGGTGTCGCGGGTCCCACAAGCCCCACAGGCCCCACAAGTCCCCCACGTCCCACAAAAAACGACTGTGGGGGCCCGCGGTTCCGGACGACGACACCGACGACGACGACGACGACGACGACGACGGCAACGGCGGCGAAGACGACGACGACGGCGACGGCGACGACGACGACGACGACGCGGGGGGAGTTCTGTATTGTCCCGAATAGAAAACGTACGCAGGCACCCATGTCAACTTGGAAACCCAATCGATCACCCGTAAAGGTAAAATTTAGCCTCCAAGCAAACATGGCGATTTTCGCTTGTGGACAATACAGAACACACGCGCGCGCGGAGTTCCACATTGCCAATTGTAGAAAATGCACACGGGTGGACCCACGTTGACTTGGATGTCCAATCGGTCAGCATGAAGGGCCCTCTTTGGTCTCCAAACCAACATGGCGACTTTCCGATTGTATACAATACGGACCCCATCCGCCAACGCGCGAGCGCGCGTGGGAGGTTCTGTATTGTCCATCATAGAAAACATACAACAAAACCAAGGTCAACTTCGAAATGCAAGCGGTTACCGTTAAGAGTTCACTTCAGCTTGTGGACAATACAGAACTCCAAATGGGCGCGCGCGTGGGAGGTTCTGTGTGGCCCATCATAGAAAACATGCACCATAACTCATTCAATTTCAAAATCAAATCTGTCACCGTTAGGGGTTCACGTTGGTTTCCAGGCCGACATTGCGACATATCTATAGCGGACAGTACAGAACCCCCAACAGGCACGCGTGCGCGCGTGGGAGGGTCTGCGTCGCCAACCATTAGAAACACGCAGCAGACCCAACGTTAGCTGCACAATTCAAGCGGCCACCCTTAAAGGTCCACTTTAGTTTCTATGCCAACATGGCGGCTTCTCTATTGTGGACAGGACAGAACTCCCAACGGGCACGCGCGCACGTGCATCGGAGGTTCTGAATTGCGAATCATAGAAAACATACAGCATAACCGATGTTAACGTTGAGCTCCATTCGGTAAACGTTAAGGTGGCATGTCGGTTTCCAAGCAAGCGTGGCGAGTTTTCTTTTGTTACCAATCCAGAACACCAAACGAGCGCGCGCGCGAGGAAGGTTCTGCGATATCTATGATAGAAAGCCTACAGCGGAGCCCATGTGAGCTTACAAGTACAATCGGTCACCGTCAAGGGTTCACCTCAGTCTTCAAGCCAACATGGCTACTTGTGCATTGTGGGCACCACAGAACTCTCAACGGGCTCGCGCGCGCGCGACTGCGAGGTTCTGTGTTGGTTATATGAGAAAACATGCAACCGAAATCATGCTAACTTCAAAATCAAATCGGTCACCGTTAAGGGCACTCTTTAGTTTCCCAGCCAAAATGGCGACTTTTTTAAATTGTGGCCAATGCAGAACTCACAACGGGCGCGCGCTCGCGCGTGGTTCTGCTGCCACTCAAAGAAAGCAGACATCAGAACCCAAGTTGAATCCACAATGCAAGCGGCCACCGTTAAAGGTTCACGTTCGTTTCCTAACCAATATGGCGACTTCTTTACTGCTGACAATACAGAACCCCCAACGGGCGCGCACGCGCGCGCGGGAGGTCCCGCGTAATCCATTAGGGGGAACATACGGCAGAGCCAATGTGATCTTCAAAATCCAATCGGCCACCGTTAAGGGCCAACGTTGGTTCCCAAGCTAACATGGCGACTTTTGCAATGCGGACAATACCGCACTCCCAATGAGCTCGCGCGCGCGCGACTGTTTGTCCAGCACAGAAAGCACACAACAAAACCAAGGTTACGTTGGTTTCCACGCCCGCATGGCTACTTCTCTATTGTGAACGATATAGACCTCACTACGGGCACGCACGCGCGCGCTCCATCATAGAAAGCACACAGCGGAACCCATGCGAACTTCAAAATCCAACCAGTCACCGTTAAGGGCCCACGTTAGCTTCCAGAGCAACATGGGGAGTTTTATATGGTGGAAATACAACGCTTCAAACGGAGGCGCGCGCGCGCGCCATCGTGGAAATCATACAACAGAACCAATGTTAATTTGAAAATCAAATCGGCCACCATTAGTGGTTCTCGTTCGTTTCCAAGACAACAGATCGACTTCCTTGTGGGGAAAATAGAGACCTCCCAACGGGCGGGCGCGCACCATCAGAGAAAGCACAGAACAGAACCAATGTTACTTCAAAATGCAATAGGTCACTGCTAAGGGGCAACATTGGTTCCCAAGCCAACATAGCGACTTTTCCGTTGTGGACAACGCGGAACTCCCCATGGATGTCTGGACAGCAGCGAGCGCGCGAGGGGGGTCTGTGTTGTCCACAATAAAAAAAGAGACATGTAATTCCAAAAACTGAAATCCAAATTTCTGTGAATATTTAAGGGGGGACGACGGACGCGCCGACACTTCTATTGTGGACAATACAGAACTCACCGCGCGCGCTGGGAGTTCTGCATTGTCCACAAAACAAAAGTCGACATGCGTGCGCGCGCGGCGGGTTTTGCATTGCCCACAAAAGAGCAGTCGACACCTAATTCCTGAAACTGAATTCAACATTTCCGTGAACCTGCAAAGAGGCCGACGGACGCGCCGACTTTTCTATTGTGGACAATACAGAACTCTCCGCGCGCGCGGGGAGTTTAGTATTGTCAACAATAGAAAAGCCGACATGTAATTCCAAAAGATGAGCTCAAACTTTCTGTGAACATGTATGAAGGCCGACCTTTCAGTTTTTGGAAGTGCATGCCGACTTTTCTATTGTGGGCATCACAAGCCTTCCCGTGCGCTTGGGGGCTCTGTAGTCCACAATAGAAAAGTCGGCGCGTCCGTCGGACTCCTTAAAAGTTCTCAGAAATTTACATTGTTTTCGGAGTTACACGTCTGTTGTTCTACCGTGGACAATACAGAACTCACCCCGCGCGCGCGCGGGCGCGGGGAGTCTATATTGTCCACAATAAAAGTCGGCGCGTCCGTCGGCCTCCTTTAAGGCTTCCAGAAATTTTGAAATCAGTTTTTGGAATTACATGTGAGGTTTTCTATTGTGGGCAACACAGGACTCCCCGCGCGCGCGGTGAGTTCTGCGCTGTACACAAAAGAAAAGTCGGCGCGCCCGTCGGCCTCCTTAAAGGTTCACAGAAAATTTGAATTCAGTTGTTTAATTACACGTCGCCTTTTCTAGTGTGGACAATACCGAACTCCCCGCGCGCATGCGGATTTATTGGCCACAATAGCACAATCGGCGCGTCCGTCTGTCTCCTTAAGGTTCACAGCAATTTCGAATTCAGTTTTTGGAATTACATGACCACAATAGAAAAGTCTGCGTGTCCGTCGCCCCCCTTAAAGAGTTTACTTAAGTCTCCATTGCGCCTTTCAACTTTTGTATTTTCGGGAGTACAGAAGTCACAACGGGCGCGCACGCCCGCGCGCGCGTGGGAGGTGGTGCGCCGTCCATTATAGGAACCAGACAACAGAACAAAT